TAGGTCCAAGGAATTATAAACTAAAAGCAATTTCAGTACTCGTCCTTCTTTCTATTTCTATATTGCCATAATTTTGGAAGTGAATAGCAAATGCAAAATTTTTTTTTTTTTACAAATAAGCATCTTGCTGGAGAACAATTCTTAAATAAGCTAATCTGTAAACTATGATCCGACCCATTTTCACACTTTAATCTGCAGACTACTGACAGCAGTATCCAAACTTAGGGGCTTCAATGGAATTTAAGCCATTGAATTTTATACATTGTTGGTTAAATAAACAGTACCCCCTAATTTTTGTCTAGGGTTGGATGCTTATGGCAAGGTAAAATCATTTCAAATTACACATTAATTGTGAAAATGGGCTGAAAATACACAGTGAAAAGATAAAATATTTGAAGCTATTATTTTTCTAGACCAAGGCCTATAAACATGAAATAAAATGATCATTCCAGACGTGTGGCGAGGCTGTGCAGACTGACTGGTGATAACGGGTGACCCAGTATCAACCCCAGATTATGCCCACTTGCATCATCTTTATCTCTGCTGTTGGTGAGCAGATGAATAAAAGCTTCATTACGTTTACATGCAGTGATAAGTGTCGCGTCTGCCATTCACCATGTTACATCCTGTCTGCCATGTAACACTTATAAATGTATAATGTGTAACATTTATGAATATAACAAATCAATCAATTTCTCTTCAATGATCATTAATTATTAGTGAAATGAAGATTATGTGCCTTTTTCAATGGCTGTTCTGACGTGAATGTATTGTCCTGATCAATACTGGAACCAACATTATAAGCTCATCGTCAGAAACTAGCACTAAGATATATAGGCAGCGACCTGACCCCAGATATCTTCCTTTCACACAATTATATTTCATTCATATATTTAAAGGGCTACATCTTATTTGATATCCTTATTTTTATTTCACAAAATTGAATGCACATATCACATGGTATATAATTGGACATTTCAAAGTGAAATGGTCATATCAGTTCTGTGACCAAGGCAAAAGGGTCATGTCTGTTACCACTGAAGTGATCTGGTCACACAAGTGCTAGAGTGAAGTAGTTAAGTTAAATATGTTGCAGCTGGCACTCTCCTGGTAATTATGCTTTTCTAGAGTTGCTTGCCAAGTTATGTTGGGTAAGGAATTGTTAGGTTAGGGTAGCATAGGTTAGGTTACACAAGGCAAGGTAAGCTTTTGCTTTGCTTTGTTAGGGAAGGTTAGATTAAGTCAAGTTGGGTTTTTATAGGTTAGGTGTAGATTACAGTGGGTATGGTAAGGTTTGTTTTGTTAGAGGAAGGTTGTGATTACATTAGGATGGTTGGTTTAAGGGGAATTTGACAGTACAGCATGTTTGTTTACACTAACATACTGTTTGTGTACACTGTCATGTCAAAGAAAGCTTAAGATGGCTTATATTTAAAAGTTGAAATAGAGAGAAATTGACCACAGTTGACCTTGACCTTGATGCTTCTTGACCTTGCATTGACCATTCATTCTTTAAAACATTCTTCTAAATACTATTACATGTGGATGCAGTATTATTTTACTAAATTTGGAAAATTATATTTCGATATAGACACCAAATAACTAGGGAAGATACTGAGAAAAATGCCATTAAGTGCAGTCTGAAATCTTTTAAACACAATAAACTCTCCAGTGAGCATTTCTTCGTGTCGACAGTAATCTATTTTCATTTATTTCCCAATATATTCCGTATCTTATGTATAGTTTGAGTTATTTTCATTGTATACCGTTGCTCACATATATCACAACATGTTTTGCAAGATGAAATGTATATAGATGATCACCTTGATGGAGCATCAAAGGTGATTGATCATTCATTACTGATGCAGTGGGAGCTCGCATTCAAATTCCTGCACAGGCCGAATATGTTCCTGTCTAGATCAAATTGTTCAATGAATGAAACAAATGTTCATTTCTGTGAGGATTTGTTCACGTAAACCGCAGATATGACAGCCAATTGGGATGCATTCAGATTAACAGCAGACTTAATCTAAAACTATGGTAAGTACTGTACAGTGAATAAAATCTTTACAAAGAAACTTAAATATACAATTTTGTAAATTATATTTTCAAATAACAATTGTAAAATATACACACACACATAACAGCCAACATTAAAATTTTTTGTTTTAGTAGGCACAAAAAATAAACAGACTGGGTGATTTCCTGGCACCAAGTACTCTCCCTCTCCTCTATGTTCAATAAATGTATGAATATATTTAGTAATAAAATATAACATTCTTAACCATTTGAACAATTTTTTCTTATTAAAGTGTCTCAGAGCAGTAGAGTCTCACCTTCGTTGTGGTGAAGGTGAGAAAAGGAAGAGAATTTAGTTGACCCAAGATAAAGCTAAATGTGGCGACTTGATCACCAGACTCCTTCAAGATATCAGTAACCAATATCGGCTACAGGTCGTGTTATGAAGAAGCATAAAAATAATTACTGTAGTTCATAGCCCAGTCATACTCATGCAGTAAGCCACACAAACACATTATCTCCTACTAAGCATGCTGATTTGGACGAATCTGCATTTAAATGATTTACATTTACATTGGCAAAAGAAATGGCTATTTCAGGCAATTCCATTAAACATGCAGCTGAAAGATTTACAATACAGTACAGCAAAATATCACAAACTTCAAGGCTGGTATTGGTTTGTGGCATAGAATCAAGTACAAAGGTTGCAAATGTTGATGCATCTCAGGCTAACATTCTCAGCACACCGTAGCCAATAATCCAAGTCGGTTTCTGATGTACAATGCTGACAAAACAGGTTTTAGCTGAAAATGACCTTAAAGAAATGCTTTAGACTCTAGGGGAAGAGAGGGAGGGTGGTGGAGGATAATCTATACTCTCAAACATTTCTCTAAAAGGACCTAGAAATACAGACATTACAGCAGTTCTGCCATTTTAAGAAGCCGAGATCCATAATTAAGATACAAGTGTCAGTAGACACTTGAAAATACTCAGAAATATTCCAACATAGATGCACTTACAATTATGTCAAAATATGGGTTGAGCTAAAGACCACCATATTCAAGAATGCTTGGAATTAAATTCCGAGTCCCTTTGTAAAGTTGTAGAGGCAGATACACATTTAGAGGGCTCTGGAGAGTTGCCAATTGCCAACATTATCAAGTGGTTAGATAATGGTAATGGCTACCCAAGTTATGGCAAATTAACAAACGAGATTATCAAGAATATCACTAGAAATGTTCAAGGATGAGAAAGAAGTGAAGGATCTTGTGTTACTGCTTCCACATGCTACATCACTGCAAACGTTCACAACCCGCTTGATCTGGTTGCTCTCACTGTTGAACAAGCACATTATCACACTTAAAAGGCTGTGAAAACAGTTTAATAAAGAAGCTAACAATCAAGAAAGAAACCAAGGTGTATGTTTTTGGTTCAACCTAACTAAGCCTATAGAACCCACACCCATCACCAGCCAAAATGGGTCTGACTGGTGATGGGTGTGGGACCCCTGAGGGTGTCCAGTCAACAGGACTACACCCACCACCAGCCAGGACCTCTGAGGGTGTCCAGTCAACAGGACTACACCCACCACCAGCCAGGACCTCTGAGGGTGTCCAGTCAACAGGACTACACCCACCACCAGCCAGGACCTCTGAGGGTGTCCAGTCAACAGGACTACACCCACCACCAGCCAGGACCTCTGAGGGGTGCCCAGTCAACAGGACTACACCCACCACCAGCCAGGACCCCTGAGGGTGTCCAGTCAACAGGACTACACCCACCACCAGCCAGGACCTCTGAGGGTGTCCAGTCAACAGGACTACACCCACCACCAGCCAGGACCCCTGAGGGTGTCCAGTCAACAGGACTACACCCACCACCAGCCAGGACCCCTGAGGGTGTCCAGTCAACAGGACTACACCCACCACCAGCCAGGACCTCTGAGGGTGTCCAGTCAACAGGACTACACCCACCACCAGCCAGGACCCCTGAGGGTGTCCAGTCAACAGTGGCTGCATTTCATCAGGAGGTTCTGGGATGATTAGAGTAAATAACCTTTACCACAGAATCACCTGCACTTTGTCTACACTTACAGGATTGAGGAAGAATAAGTACCTATCAAAAGAATGTACCAAGCCTGGAAGACTGTTCAGCACCATCCATGTTACAGGATATTCAGGATCAAGGGAACTTAGTGAGATGTGCTTATTTCTCTCTCTTCTTCAATTATAATCTAAGCTTTTAACAATTCAGAGAAACTTTACTATTTAATTTTACAAACAGGCAAAGAAAATCAATTTGTTTTAGAGCAAACTGATATCTTAGATGTCAAGATGTTCAAGTGTATGTCCAAGATTCCCATGACCTATGACAAGAGTTGCTAATGAATTATTTACAAAAAGCCAACAATGCCACACAACCCACCTTGGGGGGCAGACAGGGAGCTATAGGAAGCAGGGATTGGGATAAGGCAATGGAGAGCAGCATCACTATGAAAATGAATTCATAATTCGATGCAAGTATGAAGTGTGTGCAGCAGATATGAGGCGATGCTCTCCACTGCCATGACTCTGGTGTAACATTCTACGGTATAGGCAAGCATCCTGTTCTCCAAACATTAACAGATAAAAAATATAAAATGCAGGTTTAACACAAGAATTGTTATAAGAAATTGGGCATAACACTTCAAAAAATACCTAAATTTTTTATAAAAATATTATCAATAACAAAATGAGGCTGAAAATAAACCTGGGGAACCTGTATATGTAAAAGAGGTCATAACATTATACAATTTCAAACTACATTTAAAAGAAGAGATGTAAATGTTTACTACTGGTGAGGTCACTCTATTAGGTGTGCTCCTGAGGAGTTGGGGCTTGAGAATTAGAAGGATGTCTACAAAAGACCACAAGCCTGGCACCGAGATAAAAAGGCTCAAGCAGCTGAAAAAGAGAAGATGATAATGTTAATATTGTGCTTACATGTCTGTTCTCTGTTAATACCTGGATGACCGCGTTTTCTCCAGGCATGTAGGCCATGTTATGTTTGGGTCTCTTGCGGCCAACATAGTTAACTACGACGAACTCAAGCAGTGAACCGTAGATGAAGAACATGCACACGCTGTCCCACACGTTCATAGCACTTAGGTTGGAGACGACTGGTAGTGTGGAGCGGAAACTGTTGGAGGTGGTGAAGAAGTTGAGCATTGTGGTTACACCAATCATGACACGGGCAGGCACAGCATTCCACTCTAACCAGAAAGTGATGAAGGAACTCGTCACCAGGATGATGCCTGGGAAGAACACTGTACTGTAGTAGAAGGCATCGTCACGGCTGAATTCAAGATTAACCCTTAGACAGCTGTAGTCCCCTATGATGATGTTGTAGCGGTTGTTATTGTGGTTTGTTGTTGTGACGGTGGAGGAGGAGGAATGAGTAGCAGCAGCCATCACGGCGTCGATGAAGAGTGGAAAGAGAAGAAACAAAAATTGCCATTAAGAATATGTCAGATGCTGTGGGAGATGTGAAGCAGGCCAGGGCAAGAAATTACATTACACAAGATAGATATGTTAATATACTGTAATAAACTACATATAACCTTTCCATGTTTATTATTATGGACACGTGTCATTAATTTAGCATTCATTAACTACACCCATCACACTGCCAACACTACACCCACCACACTGCCAACACTACACCCACCACACGACCATCACTACACCCACCACACGACCATCACTACACCCACCACACTGTCAACACTACACCCACCACACTGTCAACACTACACCCACCACACTGTCAACACTACACCCACCACACTGTCAATACTACACCCACCACACTGCCAACACTACACCCACCACACTGTCAACACTACACCCACCACACTGTCAACACTACACCCACCACACTGTCAACACTACACCCACCACACTGTCAACACTACACCCACCACACTGTCAACACTACACCCACCACACTGTCAATACTACACCCACCACACGACCAACACTACACCCACCACACTGCTAACACTACACCCACCACACTGTCAACACTACACCCACCACACGACCAACACTACACCCACCACACTGTCAACACTACACCCACCACACTGCCAACACTACACCCACCACACGACCATCACTACACCCACCACACTGTCAACACTACACCCACCACACTGCCAACACTACACCCACCACACGACCAACACTACACCCACCACACTGTCAACACTACACCCACCACACTGCCAACACTACACCCACCACACGACCATCACTACACCCACCACACTGTCAACACTACACCCACCACACTGCCAACACTACACCCACCACACTGCCAACACTACACCCACCACACTGCCAACACTACACCCACCACACGACCAACACTACACCAACAACACGACCATCACTACACCCACCACACTGTCAACACTACACCCACCACACTGTCAACACTACACCCACCACACGACCAACACTACACCCACCACACTGCTAACACTACACCCACCACACTGCCAACACTACACCCACCACACGACCAACACTACACCCACCACACGACCAACACTACACCCACCACACTGCCAACACTACACCCACCACACGACCAACACTACACCCACCACACTGTCAACACTACACCCACCACACTGCCAACACTACACCCACAACACGACCATCACTACACCCACCACACAGCCAACACTACACCCACCACACTGCCAACACTACACCCGCCACACTGCCAACACTACACCCACCACACTGCCAACACTACACCCACCACACTGCCATCACTACACCCACAACACGACCATCACTACACCCACCACACTGCCAACACTACACCCACCACACGACCAACACTACACCCACCACACTGCCAACACTACACCCACCACACTGCCAACACTACACCCACCACACTGCCAACACTACACCCACAACACGACCATCACTACACCCACCACACTGCCATCACTACACCCACCACACTGCCATCACTACACCCACAACACGACCATCACTACACCCACCACACTGCCAACACTACACCCACAACACGACCATCACTACACCCACCACACTGCCATCACTACACCCACCACACGACCATCACTACACCCACCACACTGCCAACACTACACCCACCACATTGCTAACACTACACCCACCACACTGTCAACACTACACCCACAACACGACCATCACTACACCCACCACACTGTCAACACTATACCCACCACACTGCTAACACTACACCCACCACACTGTCAACACTACACCCACCACACTGTCAACACTACACCCACCACACTGCTAACACTACACCCACCACACTGCCAACACTACACCCACAACACGACCAACACTACACCCACCACACTGTCAACACTACACCCACCACACTGCCAACATTACACCCACCACACGACCAACACTACACCCACCACACTGTCAACACTACACCCACCACACTGTCAACACTACACCCACCACACTGCTAACACTACACCCACCACACTGTCAACACTACACCCACCACACGACCAACACTACACCCACCACACTGTCAACACTACACCCACCACACTGCCAACACTACACCCACCACACGACCAACACTACACCCACCACACTGTCAACACTACACCCACCACATGACCAACACTACACCCACCACACGACCAACACTACACCCACCACACTGCCAACACTACACCCACCATACTGCTAACACTACACCCACTACACGACCAACACTACACCCACCACACGACCAACACTACACCCACCACACGACCAACACTACACCCACCACACGACCAACACTACACCCACCACACGACCAACACTACACCCACTACACGACCAACACTACACCCACCACACGACCAACACTACACCCACCACACGACCAACACTACACCCACCACACGACCAACACTACACCCACCACACGACCAACACTACACCCACCACACTGCCAACACTACACCCACCACACGACCAACACTACACCCACCACACGACCAACACTACACCCACCACACCCATCTACATATACCAAAGTGTTCAAATATACACAGCAGGACTACTTCTCGAGCACCCACTACACTTAACACCCAAACTAAACTTCCCACTCCCCCCATAACTGCACTTGCTACACCTCACCCACTACATTCATTATGCAGCTCCAACTACACATCATCTTTACGGGCTCACCATAGCCCGTGCTACATGGACACTTCGTTCTGAGTAGGTAAATCTAACACAACATTCACATCATCTAGTACACCATACCAAGCGTGCTCACTTCAACTACACATGCCATCTTGTCCCTGCACTCACCGCAAGTACATTTGTCAACTCATCATAATTACATCCATCAACCCTTCACAATGGGTTGTTGTGGTGGATTGATGGGTGTAACCCATCACGACCCCCACCCTCAGATTCCTCAGGATTCTGTACACCAGTTGATTGGCGGTCAAGAGGTAAGACCAAAGAGTTGAAGCTCTACCCCCAGCAAGCACAACTAGGTTAGTACCCAACCCACCATAACTACCCGACCAACCAACAACAATTGTTCCCACCAGCCAACCACAACTATCCTCATGAACCCATTACAATTACCGCTACCAACCCACCAAATCTACCCCCCTACCAACTACCCGCACCCAATCCACCATCCAACCAACCCATCACAACTACCAACACCAATCTGCAACAACTACTCTCACCATTCCACCATCCCCACACCTCGACTACCCCACCAACCTGTTACAACTACTGTACTACTATCAATCCACTACAAATACTCTCACTAACCCCCCCCCCCCAACAACTACCCCCACCAGCCCACCTCAACTACGCCCCACCAATCCACTTTAACAGCACCCAAACCTGCGACATAAACATAAATTAACCATCCACAACTACACCCACCACCACCAAAACTGCACCCACAAAGGTACCCGCGGGACCTGCACCCACAAAGGTACCCGCGGGACCTGCACCCACAAAGGTACCCGCGGGACCTACACCCACAAAGGTACCCGCGGGACCTGCACCCACAAAGGTACCCGCGAGACCTGCACCCACAAAGGTACCCGCGGGACCTGCACTCACAAAGGTACCCGCGGGACCTGCACCCACAAAGGTACCCGCGGGACCTGCACCCACCCTCGGGACCAAAGAGCCAAAGCTCAACCCCCGCAAGCACAATTAGGTGAGTACAAGCCTGCTACATCTATAGAAACCTTCATAACCAAAGCCACAATCCCAAACTTATCACAGCTATGCCAATCACCATAAGAAATAAAGCACTGAATAAAATGAAATATCCATTTCTGGTATAGCTGGGCCCAATGTATAGCAATGTATAGCCCAGCTATACATTGGTATAGCTGGGCTTGTTCACCACACCAGGTCTCCGCGACTTGCGTGGCTTACTAGAAACTAGGATCAGAATCTGGTTCTCTCAAAGAAAAGAGGGAAGCATGGGTATCAGAGTTTCATTAAACAATCAGAATACTGCCCAGTCATTGGTGATAAAAAAATAAAGAAAATAAAGCAAACGACAGTTGGCAATGGTACGACGATCCCATCTCCAATTCAAACAGCTGCCAGCAGGTGTGTGAATTTTCTGGGTGAGCACCGTAGGTTTCCTGGAGCTATAGGACTGATATACGCTATATTAGGTATATCTGGGGCTTCGGTCAATGGAGTTATGCCTACCAGGAACCACGAGCTGGTACCACCAGGTACCACCTAACCCCTTCAGAGAGGCGCAGGGAGTAATGGCCTACAGAACCCCCTTGTACAGTGACACCTCGGCTTACAAGTGCCCCTATTTACGAACATTTCGGGTTACGAGCCCAATTTTTTCTTAAATGTGAATCAGCATACGAGCTTTGCCTCGAGTAATGTACTTTGTTGATACATGTATGGGCGACCTAGTGTGTGGTTCCTGGTGGCACGGTCGCCCACGCTTCAGTTTACCAGTGCCTCCCGCTTAGTGACAATCGTGCACGATTTTTTTGTAAAGATTTTCAGTGTTTTTTGGCTTTTCTGGGCTTTCAACATAAAAGTAATTATTATATATCACGCCATGGGTCCCAAGAAAGTCAGTGGTAAGGTTCAACCTAAGAAAACACATGTGAGGATGACCATAGTGGAAAAACAAGAGATCAATCGTAAGCATGAAAATGGTACATGGGTTGTTGAACTAGCTAGGCAGTAAAACAACTATATGTCAATGATATGCACTGTAACTGCTAAGAAAAAGGACGTAATAAGTGCTAAAGTGGCAAAAAGTGTATCAACAATCACAAAACAAAGA